TCAAGTATTAGAAACTTATAACATTATACATGTCATAATATGTATTGTTTTTGTAAACGGCGATATCATAATAGATAATTGTCATTTTCTTCAACGCGTTTTATGAAAAAAAAAAATAATAATAAAAAAGTATATTAGATATTTTAAAACTTTAAAATTTTAAATACAACATTTATATATACATATCGTGTACCACATCTGCACCATTTCTGAAATCAATTACCTTTCGGTGGAATTAGGTCAGCCCATAGCTTGACTGATCTGACCAGTATTAAAAACTTGAGTGTAAATAATACTAAAATATTATACACAGTATACTATTTTTGAATGTGTAGGTACAATGTAATTTTTTTATATTACATATTTTAGGTAGGTGCCAAGTTACCAAGTTACCAATAATTATTAAAATATTATAAACATTTTATAACTTATTCCTATATTCACTTATAATATATATATATATTCACTTTATATATTTATATTATTATTATTGGYTGTATTGTTGTATATAAATGCCATCGATCCAGATGTTGGTGGTTTAAAAAACTATTTGAAGACAATTTTCAACAGTGAACAAAAGTGATATTTTATTTTGAATTAAGCAAAAATTATAAATGTGTACGAATCGTATTGACGTATAATAATGGCGTGAATATTTGCTCAGGTGTCAACAGTGTTATTAACTTCATTATGAAGCTATAAATGATGTCAGCTCTATTGATATGGACAGCATGTGTATTTTGTGCAAGTGTTCTTGTGGTCGTGGAAAATTTTTGTTTTTCAGACATGTGCATTTAATTATTTTGACTGACTTGGTCAACAAATCCTTAGATTATATTTTATGCATTGTGTAAGGTCAAAACATACTAGTCGAGTACCTCTTATGATCACTGAAATGAATTCAAAGAATTTTGCAGCATCTGCTTTTGTTTATAATAGCTATACAAGATACATAATGTCATTATAATGCACTGTAGTATATATTTCAGGATTTCGTAGTCCATCGACAATATAATTTGTTCATGAACCAATATATTCTAAAATTTGGCATGAAACTCTACTTTTTTTGATGCAGGTACACATAAATATCAGGTATGAACCAGATCATCAAGCAATGGCATAGTAAAGAATTTCGTATGGGCAGTCTTACAAAAAAAAAAAAAGCGGGTAAGTCGTGTATGTCGCTCTGCTGTACAGTAGGTTACAAGTGGGTTACTGTAATGGATGGAATTAAATTTGAATCACATGATATTATATCATTGTATACAAAAAACGATTCTGAGCGAAGACGGTTTATCTGTCTAGGATATATTATAGATTATTAAAAATTTTCAAATCTTAGATTTAAAAAGAAAATTTTTT